CTGGTAAATTAATCTCTTTCAGTCAGTTCCCTTCTCCAACTGTCTTTTGACCACTGCTTCCTGCACAATTGATTTGAATCAACAGCATGGTCAATCTGAACTCCCATTAAAGTTGGTTGAAAACACTGAAATAGACTTTTTCTTCTACCTGTGTCTAGGCAGCCTAGAACAGTGGGTGAGCTGTTGGTATCTTAGCAGCAGATTCCCTACAATGAATGTGCTTTGAGTCCTCAGTAGAACTGTCAGAGAGGGAAAAGGAATGCGGGTAGCTTGGGGCAAGGCAGGAAAGGTAGTTGAAGATACCAGAGAGACTGTCAAAGTCTAGGTTGTACTGTTGAAATCAGTATGAATTCTGCCAGTCTTATGTGGCAGAGGTAACATATGCTTTATAAATAGATGCCTTATTGTCTGAAACATATCTTGCTCACACAAGATGAGCAGAGCTTTTAGTGACCCAATATATCCATGTATATAAAAGGATTGGGACAAAAATCATGCTCTTTCTAGGGCCTTGACAATATTACTTTGTCCCAGTATTGGGGTGCGTGAACTTTTGCTATCTTTGCTTCTTTCTCACTCCCTGATGTCGTTCCCCTAAAACCCTCCTCCATAAAAGTCCTCAACTCCTTGCACAATTTTTCAGCCTTCCCTACACACATTTTTTTAACTCAGAAAGGAAAACATATAAGAAAGACTAAGACCTTCAGTCCAAGTCAAGACTCTTTCTTTCCTTCTAATTATAATATTTGAACTTAAAAATAAAGCTATCTTTACAACAAATTTTTTTAAAAAGCTTTGAAAAGATGGATCTGTTTAGATCAAATCATCATAAGAAAATTACCATGGTTCAAAGAGTGGAGCACTTTATGGTAGGTACCCGTGACTCACATCTGTAATCCTAGCTACTCAGGAGTCTGAGGATGAGAGGATCACGTTTCAAAGCCTGCCTAGGCAAAAAAAGTCCATGAGACTCTCATCTCCAATTAATCACCAAAAAAGCCAGAAGTGGAGCTGTGGATCAAGTGGCAGAGCTCCAGCCTTTAGTATAAAAGCTTAAGCGGAGCACCCAGGCTCTGAGTTAAAGCCCCAGTGTGGGCACCAAAACATAAAAAAAAAAAAAATGGAGCATTTGAGATCTGGCTAGGAAGAGTTCTTCTCAGCCACCCATACTCCTGTTACTGTAGTTATCCAGATTTTAAGGGAAAGCCGAGATCTTTGTGTTTGTAATTAATTTCTGACAAGAGACAAGGTGAAGCAAAGCAGTCCTTTGACGTCCCTTAGAAATAAGCAGAACTCAGAGATGAAGGGACTCTGTTGACAAATTGTTTCTAATACTTTTTCATTCTCCTAATGATATCCATTCAGGCTTTTAAGTACCCTCCCCCTGCCTACTGTTTATTTTCCCTCCTTCCCTCATGCACACAGTAGGAGGGACCCAGGCACCTCTGAGTTTACTGGCTACATCCTCAGTATTCTAACAGCTTCCTAACCCATCAGTTAACGAGCCATTAAGTCACACGGATCCTCCCTCAGGGTGACTTCTCATCTCCAAGACACTCATGAATCAACTCAGAACGAAGAAACAGGTTTGGATGTGAGATAGTTCGCATGGAAGAGAATGTCAAAAGGGGCCAGCCTCTCAACAGCCCCAAGGAAGAACCTCACCAGTAGTATTATAATTGTTTGTCACCTGCAGTCCCTCAATTCCAGCCTTAGTCTGGATAGCTCTACAACAGAGAAGAGAGGTGGGGTGGAAACTAAGATAGATCCCAGCGGGAAATCGCATTTCAGTGGCGAAGAGTGGGCATGGATCTGTCTTGGAGCTATGTGCCATCTCTTTCTCTTCCTGAAGGTCCAGCTAGTTGCATCTGCCTTGCTGCTCATCTGTGAGAATCACTGGAGAGAGCTGGGAGTTACCCCTAACTTCCCATGACAGCAAGGTCTAATCACTTCTGTAAAGGACAAAACCTGTTCTTCCCTGCAGGGGGATGTAGGGACACAAGGAAGGCCTGCCCTGAGGAATGTGTATGCCCAGGGGCAGGTGGAGGACTGCCCAGCCTAGGAACAACAAGGAGGAGCAGGTGGCTGGTCCTTTATTCCATCCCTTCTTAAACTCCCACAAATATCCCTTTGCAACCAGGCTGCTCTCACCAAAACTCAGGCCTGCTTATTCAAATTCCATCACCAGAAAGGCACACATACTAGCACGTTCCGCTTTTCCTTTTAGTAAGGAAATGTCTTGCCTCTAACTGCTTCCGAAGCATGTAACCAAACGTAGAATCCCCCCTCCATACACACACACACACACACACACACACACACACACACACACATTCCCCTTGATTTCTCACAAGTACAAGATTTCTTCCTCCCACTCTCCAGAGGGAAAACTTACAAGAGTGTAAATACTTTCCTCCAGCTTTCCTTTTCCCTACCTCCATTCCCCAACATGATAGTCTACACACACACACACACACACACACACACACACACACACACACCACAATCTTCTCAGAATGGTAAGCAGTGACCTCTGGGATGTGAGCAGAGTGAGAAAAGCCCACATTCCCACTCTGGGGTCCCCGATCCTTGTGAACACTCACTCTGGCATGCTTAGAAAGCAGAAGTCCAGGTTGGGATCTTGCCACATCTCAGTTATCCAGAACTAACAGATAAGTTTCTCTGACCTGCCCAAGGTCACTCCTGGAGTACTCTAGAAGAACTCTCATCTCTGCTTTCCTGCTCCCACCCCCACCTGCACATCCAGAGACAACATTGTCTCCTGCCCCTCCAGCACCAATTTGATGGTTTCCAAAGCACTGATCAGGCAAGACTGCAGCTGCTGAGCGAGGTACTGTGAACTGAATAAAATCAGGAGGTGAACTTGAGGAAGAACATCCCATATTTACATAATGGACATAATGGTCCAAAGCCTGAAATTCAGCTCCTTTCCTTCCCCAGCCCGAGAGAAATTGTCCCAATGGTATCATCGTAGTCATCCTGGGTTGAGACAAGGGGGTGTGTGTGTGGTAAAAAGGGGACAATACCAAGAAGAACAGTCACCCTCTCCAGGGTCATATGCTAAGGCCAGCATCCAAAGACACTCAATCTCGAAATCTGAGGCCATTGTAATACTACAGGTAACGATGAATAAACTCCATGAGGCAGCAGGGTCCGGATAGGGAGCAGCTTTCTCTAAGAATGCAAAGAACAATGACTCAGTAAAGAGAAATCTAAAGGTTTGTGGAGACCAATTAGGAAGAAGCAAAAGCCAGAGCAGAAAGACTGATGAGAGGAGGATAGAAAGAAGAAAACGAAGATACATGCCTCTTAGTCCTGAGGCAGAAGTGGAAAGATGAGACGGACCAGCACACCTGCTTTAGGAAGGCAGCTACCCACAGGTAATTCTTTCTCTGCTTTCTGCCTTGAGCCCAGAGAGAATGCACTGCCAGATGAGACTTAGTGGAGGAAGTTTCTTGCCCTCATTTGCTCCCTGTCCAGCCTGTCCTCTACCTCTGAGAGACCATTGCTCACATTCTTCCTATCAGTGCCCCGGGACTAGTCGGCAAACGAAGATGCTGGTAAGCTTGTGCTAGCTGATAGATAAGGTGAGGGAGAGAGGGCATGGGCAACCTCAGGCCATAAGACATGGTCATGAAAGAGTGTTCCCTTTAGAGTTACCCAAATTCCAGCAGTTTGAAGTACCAAGACCTAGTGAATTTGTCTCAAAACCTAACAAGGAGTATCATCCTCTCTCAACACCCACAATATTAAGTGGGGGGGGGGGAGGACTCAGCTCTGTCTGCTTTCCTTTCTCTTGAGCAAGGTAGGAGTGATTTACCTACATTCCTCAAAGGGAGGAGATCTGAATTCAGGCCAGGAGGATAACAAACAGTTCATGATCATAAGAAAAAGGTGGGTGGGTCAGGATGAGGCCTGGTAGGTCAACTAAGAAGCACAGTTCCAGAGCTGGTCTTGATTACTAGGGCAGTGGCCACACACCATGCATCAGAAACAAGTACCCTGTGGAACCACATCCATATTCCCCTAGATGTGTGTGCCAGAGAGACAAGATTTCTGTTGTCCCTTTGGCTCCCCAGTGGGTTCCTGGGAGCCAGAGCCAGGGGGCATGAGGCTTCTAAGAGTGAGCCATGGAGAGCTGGGATGTAGCTCAGTGGCAAAACACTTGGTTAGCAAGTGTAATGTCCTAGGTTCAATCCCCAGTACCAAAAAAAAAAAGAAAAAGAAAAGGAAAAAAAAACACCGTTTCTTTAAAGAAAAAAAAAGTCCAAATAATAACAAAAAGAGAGTGAGCCACCGACTGCCATGTTTTGAGTTCTTGGTGTAAGTTTTGATAAGAGGCAATCCTCATGCCTCTGTCTACCACGTGTTCAGCCATAGATGCTCAGCCAGGTGGAACATGGCAAGCATTGTTAACTCCGGGCTTGAAAGAACAAGTCCTCCTCCATTTTCAACAGGAAAGAGAAGTATCTTAGGCCAAGTCACACCATTGGCTCCGTCCACAAGGAAGGAGAAGTCTTTATTCTGTCTTTCTGACGGAGGCATCCCAACATCTGGGAACATCTCCGTTCACACACAACCAAGCACTTTTCTGACCATACTTTTCCAGTATGGTCCCGCCTATGCCGAAAAGAACACTCTGGGTCGACTCAATAAACTAAGTGCTATCAAAGCCTCCACCAAAGGGCCCCCAAGACCAGGAAAACAGAACCCTAGAAAACCACTGGAGATGACAGAATGAAGTAAAATTCTTAGACCTGAGCTTCAGACCTGATTCTCTCCCCCCCCCCCACTGTCTGGGGGAAGAAGAAGGGGGTCCTGAAGGCACCGAGAAGCACAAACGAGATGTATTGCTGGTGGCCTAAGGGAATGGTGGAAGGGACCGGGGGAAGTGTGGGTGGAGAAGCCAAGGGAGGCGCATTCCAAAGGGAGGGCGACGGGCGACGGGGGGGGGGGGGACAGGCGACCGTGGCCCTCACCTGTGGATGTTCATCTCCCGCGGAGGGCGGTGGGCCTTGTCGTAGGAGACCTTGGCGAAGACCCCGGCCACGATGACGAAGGCGATCACCCCGCAGGTGATGTAGACGGTGAAGTTGGTCTTGTCCTTCTCCGGATCGTACTTGTTCTCGGGCCCGGGCGACACCACCTTGGTGCTGGGCGTCTGTACCCACACGGGGCTCTGGTAGTTGGTGCACTGACGCTGGTCCAGCTTCTCGTGGCGTTTCTTGCAACAGAAGCGGTAGTAGCAGGTGCCGCAGCAGTACAGGTAGCCGCTCTCGCTGTTGTTGCACTCGAACTCCTTGTCGTACTGGCCGCTCACGTCGTAGTAGCCCCAGCAAGTCTCATAGGTGACGGTCGCGCTGGCCGCCTCCGCCGCCGCCGCCGCGGTCTGACCCCGCCGGCTCCCCGCCTCCGGGACTCCGGACG